ATCTATCTATCTATCTATCTATCTATCTATCTATCTATCTATCTATCCTAGAAAATAGAGTAACATCCAGGCAAAGTGGTGAATGTCTGTAAGTCTATGTATATACTCTAAAATCTCTGATGCAGAATGACACCAAGTCGGTGACCTAGGTTAAAAATAACTAAACAATGACTAAATGACCTACTTGAAAGCCCAACCTTGAAAGTAAACCTCAGCAAGTCAATAAGCTCAAGAAAACTGGCTTTGACAACTCAGTCCAACTATCTCGAGCATCACTCTTTCTGTAGTAAAATGAAGTAATAACGTCATCAATGTGGCCTTGACAGAGTTTAGGGAGAAGTACAGTAATCCTGGAACTATCTATCAACAATCATGGTACGCCCTATTAGATTATTATATATATGGCTTCAACACATTTAAACTGTTCTTGTCTCATTTCAGACAAGGTCAAGCGAAGCTACGTTTAACTTCAGTTTTACTGCGGTTCACTACAGAAGATGAGAGTTGGATTTCCCTCCACTGAAAGTATCTGTATGAAAATATACTTTCTGGGTTCCTTAAACATCAGCTGCAAATGACGTTTGCTTGCTTCTCCTGTGCGGATGTTAAACGGCCATCACTCAAGGACAGACCTTTCTGGAACATATGAAAGTGGAATCTACCATTGAGGCTTTTACGAGCCATTTTATAAACAAGTATAGTAATTCTGGAAAGGCAGACCAAGTGCCTCAAATGAACTGCCAATTGCAGTCATGTGATGCATGCTGTCAATCATTTTAGCAGATCCTCTACTCCATTCAGTCTTTCTCACTGCTCTGATGTGGAGGTAGTGCATGCAATCTAAGTTTAAACATGGAGCAGCAGGACCAGGGGAGCCAGAGAACTTTCTGAAGGTCACACCATTTAGAGGGTTGAAATCCAGTCACATTTTAATCATCATTATATGCCCACATGTACTTAATTTTATCTCTCACACTGCTTCCAGGTGTGAAGCAAGGATATTTGTAGAAGACTTTAAGAATGATTCCTTAATTAACATTTCATAAAGGAGGAATGTCATGACCAAAGACCTACAAGAGTCCTCCAAGGCAGAACAGTGAGGGCACGAGACAGGATGCACTCAGGACTCTGCCCTGTGCACCGAGGCACACTTCCCTCTGGAGACTCGCCACCAGATCCCCTTCTGGGCCTCAAACATTTGACTATAGAAGATAAAGTACAGTCATGGCCTACCTAAGACTGCACATATATGACAGTGGTCCCTAAAGACATGAGCGCTGAATGGATTGCGAGGCTTTGCACGGGGGAAGTGGGGAGGGAAGTCAATGTTTTATTATATACATGTATAAATTACTAAGAAGGAAGAAAAATTAGTCTAAACACAACTTCCACTGTGCTGCAACACAGTTGCTATTGTAAATCAAAACCACCACGCAGCTCATGTGTCTCTGCTATCAGCTACAATAACGTACAGCTAAAACATTATATATAGCACGTAGCATTTGATGATAAAGTATCATGTTATTGGTTCATGGACTTACTACAGTACACTTTCAAACAATATTGTAGGGTGGTGTTCCTACTTACAAGATGTTTACTAAAATAAAATAAAATAACAAAATAAAATAAGCTCAGTGTGTTCATGGCAGCTGTGGTATACACCTAAGGTTTTTCAAGTCTCTCCAGTGTGTCATTTCCTTTATTTGTTGGAGATTTATTCATGCGTGTGAGAGTTTTGCCTTCATGCATGTACGGGCACCCCACGTGTGCCTGCTGCCTGCAGAGGTCAGAAAGGAGGTTACAATTCCATGGAACTTAAGTCCTGGAGGTAGTAATCCCACCATGGGAATTAAACCTGGGTCTGCTGTAAGAGCAGCCAGTGCTTTTCAAGGCTGAGCCATCTGTCTAGCCCCATTCATTCTAAAAACAAAAACAAAACAACAACAACAACAAAAAACCCCAGAACTTGCCAATGCCAAGTGACAACAGTAAAATGTCCCGCCTCATAAGCAAGTGTCATAATAACCTGTTATAGCACTGAGCTCCAGTGCGTTTCACTCACAGGCTGATTACATGTCCATCCACCAAACATTTTCTCAAATTTCTCAGACTACCCAAACCCTTGAGAACGCTAAAGAGGTCAATAACTCCGTGAGCTCCAGATTCCTTTATCGTGCTCATGTGAGCACTGAAACATGTTGATTCCAGGTTTAACATTCCAACCCGACACTGATTCATCCCAGCCTCCACTGTACCTCATCCTTTTCCTCTTTAAGTATTTACACTTGCTTACAGATTTAAAAAGTTTGATACTAGTGAGAACAGAACAAAAATTCCACAGGCTAAGTGTGTACCCTACCACTGAGCTCCATCTCACAAGGGCATGAATAATTGTCCACGACACTCCCAACATGTATAAGGAACAGCGATGAACCTACAGATGTGTGCAAGCGACAGGGTGTCCTACCAAAATACTCTCTAAAATTAGATGGCAGTGGTAGGGTCAGAATAATGGCTGGAAAAATGAATTCTGTCCTCACACTTTACAGCTCTAAATGAAAATAGCCAGAGGCATAGTTAGGGCTGCCAGCTTGCTGTCTGCTCTTCCTGTAAACCCAGGCCTGGGCAAAATCTCCAGTCAGGAGTCCAGCCGAATGTAACTGTTTTAATCAAAGGCAGGAGGTTCCAGTCCAGGCTGAGGAATGTCTCTCACTGAGAGCCTTCAGCAGCACACTGGTCCCCTTCCCTACCCCGTGTGAGTGAGCAAAAGCAGGTGACCTTCATTAGTTGCCCTTAGTGCCCAGACAGAGCTCAGGTTCTCTGACTGACCTTCCCCTGGGATGCCCCAGGCTTACCTCCCTCTTCACCGGGGTGCTGTGTGCAGCAGCTTCAGGAAACTGCTCTAGCGCTGGCTGCTCCTCGCCGTTTCCACTGGCAGGCTCTGGTCTGGGCTGTGCCCCTGCGTGCTCTTGAGGCCCTGCTGCCTCCTGGGGCTCAGCCTCCTGGTCTGGCTTGGATTCTGAGTCTGATCCCGATTCGGTCGTCATGGTTGATTGTTCTGCAAGCAGAGGAGGAGGCAAGGGCCTGTCACTAGGTGCAATTATCTTCCAGAAGAGCCCGTACGAAAGTGATGAAGAGGGAGAGACATGTCACTGCCAAGCACAGCCCTATACTACATGCCAGAGAAGCTCTGTGCAAAGGTACCACAAAGAACGGTGCTCACAGGAGCTCAAAATGGATACCACGCAACACTGTGAAGTTATCTGGGAGGAGGGAATCATCAATGGAGAAAATGTCTCCATGAGATCAGGCTGTAGGCAAGCCCGTGGGGCATGTTCTTAACCAGTGATTGATGGGAGAGAGCCCCGCTCATTGTGGGTGAGGCTACCCCTGCGCTGGTGGTCCTGGGTTCTGTAAGAAAGCAGGCTGAGCAAGGCATGGGCATGAGAAGCAAGCCAGTCAGCAGCGCCCCTCCACGGGTTCTGCATCAGCTCCTGCCTCTAGGTTTCTGCCCTGTTTGGGGGTTCCTGTCCTGACTTCCTTCAGTGACAGGACTAGGTTGTAAAAGTGCAAGTCAAATAAACCCTTTCCTCCCCAGCTTGCTTTTGGTCATGGTGTTTGATCACAGCAGCAGCAACAAACACTAACTGGCACAAACGCACACCAAAAACTAATGTGTAATGGTCAACAGTGTCTCTTCACAAACAGATTGTGGGCACAAACGGAGTTTCAAAACTACCACACTAACTGGGGTAGCTGGTGCAGATTACGTGTTCCCGAGTGTGTCTCTTTTGACCCCTGGGAGGGGTGCTCTGTTAAGATTAGATCTTCCACATGTGCCGCATGAGTGGGCTGCGCATGCTCAACCCTACATAGCAGCCTTCCCCAGTCACTGTGTCCTGCTTGCACACAGCCCCGTGCCTCAAAGCACGTTCCTGCTGAGTGCAGTGAGAGAGAGGCTACGCAGAGCACGGCCAACCTGTTGTGTAGTTTACCTACACACGTGTCAATATCCTCGAGACAATCTGTCTTTTACAATTTCCTTTCACAATTCCAACCCCCTCGTTAAGGAAAACTAAAATATCCCCGAGCGAAGGGCTAGAGGAACGGCCGTAAGTGAAGGCTGGCGTGCACTGGGATGAGGTGGGATTATGCTACTGTGACTCATCATGTAGCAATTTAACTGTTTCGGTGATGAGTGCTATCAACACTGAGCAGTGCTTTATCTGTGCTCCTCACGTCGGGTTCCTCCTCCCAGGCACCAGCTATTCCTTCTGCTGAATAAAAGACATATCAACTTGGAACGTGCTGAGGCATCCTGAGCAATGGAAATATCAAACCCAGACAAGACTGTGAGCCACATCCCCCTTTTACACTTTAGCTTCCTAAACACATCCTGAAAGTAAATATTACCTTTCCTTGGTCTGCTTATCCTGGATAGCTTGTATAAGTACACAGACATCGTGTAGGGGAGGGGTAGGGTGGGGGGGGGGGAAGGTTAGCACTGTGGATTTCAGATTCCTTGTGAAGTTCAGTCTTTTTAATAGTCAATTCATATGCGGGCCAAATACAAGCCAGTTAGTGTGGTTTAACGGCAATTTACAACATGGCTCATCACCTTCTGGTCCTCAAGACTGAGCCATGTAAGGTAGAATCCATCTCCTCCCATGCTCCTTTAGTTCAACTATCATTCCTCCCTTAGCTCTCATATGTGAAAAGCTGTAATGACAGGATCAAGGCTGAACAATAAGACAACTGAAAATACGTATTAGGCACCATTTCTGGGCCAAGAACCTAGTGCTAGATAGGTCACAGGCTATATAGACAACTGCTATGTCTGTGTCCATTCTGTTAGACGGACACAGTAATAAGCAGACTCCTAAGAGTGTATCTTCATACCCATGGATTGGTGCATCAGCAAAACTTCATCAGTGAAGCTTCTCTCTGCCGTAGGCGGTGATTAACACAGGGAGCCACAACTGGCCAAGGAGCGAACAATGAGTTCAGAATGCTCAGCCCTAAAGGGAACATCTATTTCACGCCTTCTCCTCCCAAGGCTCAGGAATCATTGAGGAAGAGGAGGCGGAGAGACTTTAAGAGCTGGAAGTGGCGAACAAGCACAACAAAAGAGTATTTTCTAGACACAACAGAGTAACTGCATCTAAGGACTTAACAGCAGTTACCACAGCACACACACAACCTGGCCAAACTCAAGCCAGACAGACAGCGTGGAGTCAGGAGGGTTTGAAGTCCCCAAAATGAGGACCTGTTGGCACCTGAAAGCTCAGGGGAGAGGTAAGCTGGTGTTTTTGGAGGGTGTGGTTCCTGGCACGTTGGCCATCCTCCAGTGCATGGCCCACACCCAAGCATATGGGTAGCACCAGTTGGATTCAATAGTTTAGTAATTTAAAAAGAAAAATTTAAAAAGAGGACACAACGTGTGGAATTATTAAAGAATAGAATGTAGTCAATGTCTGGGTCATCTTTATATGACAAACCACGTGTCCTGGGCTTCCACCTTGGCTGGAAAATGACAACAAATTCCATGGTTTCCTCAGACACAGGAGAGCACCTGAACCACCACCTCTCTCCTATTATTCTCTGCATCTTCCTTGTTTGAACCGTAGCACCCACACCTGCAGCTGGCCTACTCCACAAAGGCAGACCCTGAGCACCCCTTCAGCGACCGGCATGGTTCTCTCTCACTGACTTTCTTGACTCCTCTTTTCTGAACCACCTCCCCATTCTAGCGGGAGACTTCTCCACGGCACTGGTGTGGCTCTGGCGGCCACCACATCAGCTCATGCCCGTTCCTCAAGGAATCCTCTGATTCCTTGGCAGCCTGGACTCAGAAAGTAGCTGTCCTTGGAACACACACGTGGGCCTTGGTGTTTAGGACACAATATTCACTCCCTTCCTGAGTCTGGCTCCTCCTCTCCTAAGCTGCATTTGCTCCTCTAGCCTAGCTCTACATTCAGTCCAATCAGAGAATTTTATTCCGGACCTTCTTCTCCCATCTAGTTTTCTCCATGGTGACCAGCATGTCTCCCTCTATGACTCAGTGGTGAAAACCCCTTAACACCTTCCCAGCACACACAGAAAAATCTAAATTCCTAATTGCCATGGCCTAATATCTATGTCCAGGACTCATCTCCCTGCCTGATGGCCACTTTTTATTCACTCCAACACAGAGTTGGTTCTCTTCAAGTATCTAAATCATTTCGGTCTTCAGGGTTTTAGAGACATAGAAGACAGGTTTTGCGTTACTCTAGTTAGTTTCCCATTCTCCAGGTATTGGCAGAGAAGCCCTCCTTGGTCACACAGTTTCCTCTCTGTAATCAGCCAATTTTGTAACTATTCTCTGCCCTCTAGAAATTGTATCTATATATTTCAGAGTGAGAGCCATATAAATTTATGCCCCAATATCCTTAGCAGCGATATACACCCAAGAACATGGCGCGGCAATAATTACCTGCAAAACGCAACTTCTTTCATTCTTAGGTATACATACTTAAAGGCACAGCACCTCTTCCTCACACATCTTGACCTTTGGGGAAGTCTCTAGAGAATTTATACAGACTTTTATCATATGATTAAGTAATGAGAGCTTAGTTAAGTTTCTGAAATGAAGACTCTATGAAGAAAAGATTTACACAAAGAGTACAAATCTCTCTCTCTCTCTCTCTCTCTCACACACACACACACACACACACACACACACACACACACGCATATCTTGGAAATTTGAAACATTTGTGTTCCCCACTACCCAATAAGAAACATGAGGCCAACAAATGCAACCCAGTGGAATACCACCCGAATGCATTTGTCCTTATAAACAAAAACCTTCCCAAAGAATCAAAGGAAAAGCTTTAGCTATTTCACAGAGTCTTTATAAACACCAAACAAAACATCAGTCACTGAATATGAGTATAGAAAACCATAACTACGAGAAAGGTGTATCATAAATAAGGCTCTATTTTCCCCATATCAAGATAATTCTTACATATAAGTTATGTTCATATTATCAACATAATTTTGGGTAACATTAAGGCCTTTTTATTATGTTTTATGGCTATCATACTCAGGATTTTTGTTGTGTTATTATGAGTGGTTTAGGAAATGACAGCTACACCTTAATAATTGGATGTCAGAATTGTTACTAAGTACAGGCAAGATAACCTTGGAGGTAAGGGCACTTTCCAAAGAGAGGAAAGAACAGACTCCTCAAAGTCGTCTTCTCACCTCTACACATGTGCTGTAGCATGCATACATACATGCGCAAACACACATGTACACAAATACTCACACTAAGATAAACTATGAACAATTAAAAGTCTAGAATCTCATTTCAGGCTAGAAACGTTTCTATCTGTAATCTCTATGGAATGGCTGTCAGCAGGTAAGTGTCATGTATGGCATTGCATGGATAACTTATGTGTTTTAGTTTTCTGAGATGCCTAAATGAGACATAAGAATGCATTTCATCCCTGATATGTTAGGCAGGGATAGAGTTGGGGGTGGAGCATGGGAGGGAAAGAGACACACAGACCTTCCCACAGGACTCAGCAAATCTGTACCTTCCATGGTCTTTGTTTGTTCGTTTTTCTACCTTTTGTCCCAGGAACATTTTAACAAGAGAATTTATACCATAGATCTCTCATATCCACGTAGCTTAAACGTAGCTCAAAAGCTACCAGATACGGAGGACACTGCAGCTGTAGCTCTATGAAATGCTTGCTGGGCAAGGAGGCACAAGACTTGGGTTAGGATCCCAGCAACACGTACCAGGTCAGCTGTGGAAGGGCATGTTGCGTCTCAGTGCTGGGTGGCCACAGACAGGCAGATCCCTGGAGCTCACTGGCCAGTCAGCCTAGCTCAGTCAGTGAGTCCCAGGCTCAGAGAGAGACCCGTGTCAGAACAAAGGTAGAAAGACAGAGCAGCCTAAAGTTGACCCCTGACCTCTACACACACGCAAGGTACAAACGCAGAAATTCTTAACTCTGCACCGAAACAGGAATCTCTCTAAACATAACTAGTCGGTCCCTAAACCCACTC